GGGGATTTGAAGAATGAAGGCATTTTTTTAAGATGAGAGGACAGAGATTTAACAAAGACATGAGAGGCAATTTTTTTTCACGCAGAGGGTGGTTAGCGTGTGTAATGAACCTGACGTGAACCTGAGGAAGTGGTGGATGTGCGTACAATTACAACGTTTGAAAGACATTTGGATAAGTACATGAATAGGAAACTTTTGGAGGGATTTTGGGCCCAGGAACAGGCAGATGAGACGAGATTAATTTGGGATCATTTTCAGCATGAACTGCTTGGACCAAAGTGTTTCTTTCTCTGCTGTATGACTCTATGACGCCATTTAAAACGACAATATATACTAGCACGAGGAAGGTGACATTGGGAGGTTATTTTCACAGGGTACAATGGACTGTGCTGATCTCATTTCAAGAGTTTAAATTGCCAGGATCACCCTCGTAGTCCTTAACCGTTCAGTTGGATCCTGTGCTTTCATGAAACATGCAACATTCTCTGGTCAAAGAGCTCCCTTGTTCCATACAGTGAGGCTGATTCCACAACTTTGTGTGACAGTGTGTTTCTTCAAATTACTTCAGTGGACGACAGCTGAGGGAACCGCTGGACTGTCGTGAAAAGTAACATAGAGGGAGTGTTGTTGCACTGTTGGACACGTGATGTTGAAAGGAGTCTTCGCTCAAATAAAAAAATGTCATGGCTTGAAGCTTATGACTGCATTTTTGCTCAGTTGCGGGTTTGGAGTTTGGTGAGACTCGTCCGTGAATGTCACGGAGCGGTTAACTCACACATTTCAGTGGAAAGTTGATGGTGAATAGTATTGACATACGACTGGAATTACCCATGGACCAGATCAGAGAAGAATGGTTGAACTTAGATTTGAATCTGCCTGTCAAAGATACTCAACTGAACTTCATTTGAAGAAAGTAGATATTAAATGGAAGAATAGACTGTGTATTGGAATAGAGAGATTTTTTGTGAGCTTTGTCAGCAAGTGATTTCTAAACGCATTAACAGTCAGTTTCATTTCATTAAACTCAGCAGTGGCCGCTGGAAATTCGCGCATTACTGCGAGTTGCTATTTTTGTGGAGGGGGGCAGTGGTCGTGGGGAGGTGGGGGGGGCGGCGCGAGGTATCTTTCAGAATCGCACTGCAATCATCCACCTCTCTGCTGGAGGGAAGGAAATAGGATAGTTAAGTCACTGACAAAATCCCGTCATTAACTGCCAGATGGTGAAGTCATCTGTGTTGTCGCCCTGAAAAGGCGCCCTGAACATTAATGGTCTGGCCCCACCTGCCGATGAGAAATGAGTCCTGAAAATATCTGGCGTCGGATGCAGGGTTTTGTGGCTGCAAAGACTTTCTCAAATGATGCGCGCTGCTCCACGCACAGAAATAGACAGCTGTGTGAGATGGTGAGACACCTGCCAGTTCTGAAGCGTTTGACTGCGTTTTCCAGCCCAGTAAGACTCGGGTATGTAATTTGTAACAGCTGTTGCTGCAGCAGAATTGAATAAAGCTTCCATTGCCCGGTCGGGTTGCTGTCTCGACCAATACATTTGGAGACAGCTGGTGTGCTTCAGTGTACTTTTAAGTTTAGCCGAGTCTCTTTCAGCCCTCGACACCAAAGAAGGAGACTGCTTCACATCGGAGACCAGCATTCCTGTCGAATGTGAAATTTAAAAAGACCCGCAAAATTCTGACAATACTTCAACAAATCAACCGCTGCATTTCAACAAAGGGTTTGCATTGACGTACAATGTGTCGCAATCCAGAAACATATCTTAGCACATGAATAGAAACAAAATACTTATTATGAAATGTATCGTCACTGTTAAAATGCCGTTTCCTGCAAAGCAATATTCAATAACAGCAGCGAGACAATGACCACTACCTATGTTCTTTTCAAACATTGCCTCAGTCTGATATTTTGGAGCAGGACCTGCTTTTCTCTGACGAACGGATTGTGATTAGTGACACCAACTGAAAAGAAAACAGTTCTGTTTAACATTTTGCATTCTCTGTAAACCTTGTATAATTTCAGCGTGCCCTCGGTAAGTTGCGACGAGTGTCAGCCTTGATTATCAGCAAGCACCTGGCGTTAGAGTCGGGTCTATGACTTTCTAACGCAGATAAGTGAATGCTCCCAAGTGACCTGCAGCTCATTTGACGATGCGTGGTTCCATTTCACTGTCATTTTGACTAACCTGGGACAGTCAAACATCTAAATGAGATAACAGACTTTATGCAGCACGATCCTCTCATATATTGCTGGTTCCACTGTGATCTGAGTGAAGTCCAATGACACCTCTGAAGGAAGTTTCGCTTCCCCTTTTGATTAAATACATCATATTCAATTGCCACCTCTTCACCCCGACACCATTTGCTGTGAAAACTTAGCTCCATCTCATTATATTTCTTATTGATTCATTAGATGGATAGATGGCAGGGGGATATCAGTATAAGAGCTCAGACTTCATGAGTGATTGGATAATGTGGATAAGAAAAAAGACAATTCTTCTATTCGGTTGCCACTAACGACAGTGTAGACATTGAATTTGAGCAAGAGAATTGGCCTAAAGTGAAAATTGGAGATAAAGAGACATTTTTATACATCAGATGTTCCGATCTGAAATGCATTATCCGAAAATGCTGTCTGAGCAGAATCAATATAATTTTCAAAGCAGACTTGGATAAATACCAGCAACAACAAACGTCGTGAATAGGGGAAGAGGTGCACTGGATACGAGTGCAAAGTCTTGGTTTATAAATAAAGACCGTCATTGCTAAAACATATTTCAGTGAGTAGCAATCTTACAGAAGAGAGAGGTGACCACTGTTTGATTCTTTCCTGGTATGTCGGTGTCACTATCTGGGCTACCACTTCCAGCCACTTGAAATTGCTTTTGAGAAGTTGATTGTGAGGCGACATCTTGAATTTTCCCTCTCTATTCTGTACGGTTTTGTGTGAAAATTTTCTGGTCCTCTTCAGAGGGCACTTCAGAGTCATTCTATTGCTCAGGGTCTGGAGGTAAATATACTCCAGACCAGGACAGGTCAGCAGATTTTCTTACCTGAGGGGCATTGATGAACAAGATTCGTCTTTTAAAAAAAAGATATGACAGTTTCGTGGTCACTATGACGATAACAAGCTTTCAAATGATTCTTTTTAAAATGTGAAATATAAGTTGCCTTACTTGACATGAGTATCTCTGACGCTTTTTAATGGATATTACACAATGACACGAGGAAGGCAAGACGGAGAGGGCGTGTTTAAAGTGTGAAAGGAACTATTCTGATCCAATGTAGAATTGACATTAGCAGGAACAACCGCATGTGCCCGTTCTGATCTGTAGGATCCTTTGATTTTGTGAAGCACGCAATATTCTTGGTCCAAAGTGCTCTCTTGTTCCATGCAGTGAGTTTTATTCCACCAACGTGTTTCTAAAATTAATTCAATGGAAGTGGCCTAACTGAAAGATGCACTGTCAGAGAAGCAACACAGAAGGCGTTCTGATATTACTGTAACGCACTGCTTGGAAGTTGACGCCCAAAGGAGTATTCTGTCAGGTCAATAATCACAAAGCATGGGATTTGACCTTGCCCTTTTGTTTCACTGCACTACAGTGTTGCAACGCCTTCACGAATGCCACTGACTGGCTTACTTATCCATCTTAGAGGGGACTAAAAGTCCACAGTGTTGCTGTGCTGCTGTCGTCACATATGTACGAGATCCAGGTAAGATAGGCAAATTTGGACTTGAACACGCAGAAACAGTAAGTAGAAGGATTTATTATTCGGAGTAGCAAGGGGTCCATTGGAATCGAGTGGACTGTTTTGGGATGAGCACTCTGGTGGCACTCTGGTTCAATCCTGCCACCGCAGATGGTAGAATTCGAGTTCAATGAAGAAGAACCTGGAATTAGGGGTCTAACGATGACCATGAAGCAATTGTGAATGAGTGATTCCAACATTTTAATAGTCAATCACGTTTCATCATGTCCAGCATTGCTGGCCTGCTATTAACATTTGACTGTGATACCCGACTGTATGATCCCATCAGATTTGGGCAGGGTTCATTCATCTCTCTACTGTAGAGACTGAGGAAAATGTAATGAAGTTACAAAGTGAATATGTTTCTTTATCTTCCGGATTGTGAAGTTACCTGAATCTCAGCAGTGTAAATGAAAAGGTGATGTGTGTAGGCAAGGATGTATGAAGAAGATTTAAACAGGGAGAGTTTGGTATGTAATGGGGATCGGTGTGAAGGAGAGAGAAGTGCTTTTTGCTTGACCATGTCACTTTATCGACTGCTGCGACCAGGAGACCACCAACTGGAAAATTGCTTGAGAGGGTTGATTCCAAACAAAGAGGAAAGAATCACAAAGGACGATGTCCGTGGACGCATTGTTTCGTGAGACAGATCTGCAGGAGAGATGAGATGTTCTGGTATTTTGGGTACAGAACATGAATTATTTGGCAGACTGCGGAGTATCATGGATGATCTGCAGTTTTTGAGAACAATACGAGAGGCCTTCAGGGGAGATAGGATTGAGCTGCTCAGATCAGTGTAACGTTTCCTTGCAATGAACATAGGAAACTGATTTCGGTGGGACAAGGGATGGTCACCAGAGACACAGATTTCCACTAATTTGAAAAGTAATTAGATCGTGGGGGGATATCATGTGATTTTCAGCAGTTTCATAAGGAATGGGGTGGGAATGGTTTATGTGAACACCAGTTTATAATGAACTTTCAAACACTGCTGACTGAGTGAAAGTTTTGGAAGCACGTTTAATAAGAACGTTAGAAAGGTGTTTGAGGAAACATATGAAGGGAAACAATTCACTGGTTCATAGGTAAAGAACAAAGGGAGATTGAGATCAACAGAAGAGATTTCACAAATTGCTGGGAAAGAAAATTTAGCCCGAATTCCCTTTTGTGTCCTTCCCATTCTCTAATTATTAACCTGGTGACAGAAAATGTGGATGAACATTAAACGTCTGCTCCCACCTGCTGGTGGGAAATGAGTCCTGAACGTGCCTGGACTCCAATGCAGGTTTTTGTAGCTGCAAAGGCACTTCCTCAAACGCTGTGCTGCTGCACGCACAAAAATAGACACCCGTGTGGGATGGAGAGGCGTCTCTCAGTTCCAAACTAAACTGCGTTTTACTGGGTCTTTTAGCCTGGAAAGACTCGGACGTGTAATTTGTAACGAAATCTTTTCCAGCAGAGTAGAATAAAGCTTCTATTGCCTGGTCCGGTTTCTGTCTGTACCAGTACATGTAGATGTAAGCTGTATCCTTCAGCGTGCATCTGAGTGTAGACGAAAGTCCTCCTGAAATCGACACAATGGATGGAGACTGCTCCACGTAGAAGGCCAGAATTCCTGTCGAATGTAAAGTGGAACAGATTCAAATTTACAGCAATAATTCATCAAGACAACGGTTGGCTTTAAATGGAGTAAATCCAGTAATATAAAACCTGTCAAAATAAAAGTCCGTTTTAAAGCACGTTTCAAGCATTTCTTATTTCGCTTACATTATTGTCAGGTTACTTTTAAAATTTATCCCAACAGTTTTGAGCGAACCGAGATCCAATCACAGCATTACGTATGTTCTTTTTCAAGCGTTGTTCCAAGTTGGAACTTAAGAGAAGGGGTTGCTTTTCCCGAAAGAAAAGTTGGTAATCGTTTTCTCCAACTGAAGAGTGCAGTTCTGTTTAACATTATGTGTTCACTATGAAACTTGTAAAAGTGAAGAGCTGTCTCTGTAATGACAGCCTCGATTTCCAGTTTCAGGATCTGGAGTGAGAGTCGGCGCTATGACTGTGTAACCCAGATGGGAGAGTGCGACCGAGTCAACGACAGCTCATTTGACAATGCATTGTTGTATTCACTGTGTGACATTGACTGACCTCGGGACAGTGCAAACATCCAGATGAGATAATAGGCTTCATGCAGCATGATCCTGTTATTTAGCTGTGGCTCCCTCTCTGAAGATAATGCTGTACAATGACACCAGAGCAAGCAAATTCTCTGTTCCATCTGATGAAATGCATCACATCCGGTTGCTGTCGCTTTCTGTGACGCCATTTGACGAGAAGCATAAATTCCATCGCACTGTATTTTTCAGTGACACATTACTTTGAGAAATCACACGGCGGTGTGAATAGCAAGACTTAAACTTCAAGAAAGAGGAGATAGTTTGGATTGTAGACATTAAAGGTGATGCAAGATAAGTCGCATAATGTGTAAATTGGAGATGAAGATATCTTTTTGTACATCGACATGCTCTGACCTGAAATCCGTTGTCTGAAAACGTGGTTTGAGCGGAATAACAACAAATTTCAAAACATCTTTAAATAAATAGATGTACAGAGAAATGACAGGATTGAAGGAGAGAGTAAATAGACAGAGGTGAAATGAATACTGTAACAATGTCTAAGAACTATACATGCATATGGAATCTGATGTTTCGGGAAGAAATATTCCTTCACAACACAATGAAGACTATTTCTTTAATTCATTCTCGGGGTGTGGGTGTCCTGACTAGGCAAAAGTCTTTTACACATCCGCAATTTAAAAAAAAATATTCACGGTATGACGGCCTTGCCAACTAAGCCAGAATTTATTCCCCATCTTTATTTGCCAATAGGACAGTTCAGAGGCAACCACTTTGTTGTTTGTCTGCAGTCATATGTAAGGTAGGCCAGGTAAGGACATTAGTGCACCAGTTGATCCCGTATTCCCAGAAAATTCCTGCGTCTCTGGATGAACAGACCAGAGATAATACCACTAAGCCATCGCCGGCACTTATGCTGGAAAGGTGGTAGTGAGATGCCTTCTTGAAATTTCGTGGTCTGTTCTCTTATGGCTCTGCAGAAGTGATGGTTTGCTGGGACACTTCAGAGGCACTTCACAGTTCGCCTAATTGAAGTCTTCAGGACGGCAGATTATCTTCCCAAAAGGGCATCCGTGAAACAGATATGTGAAATTTAATCACAGTTTGTCATCTCAATGACATTTAACAAGTTTTGATCTGTTTATTTTTAATGTATAATTAGTTACTCAAAACGACACTCAATGATACAAACTTTGATTCACTAAGGTTGTAATTCGAAACAGGGGAACGATAGACCTGTGAGTCTGACTTCAGTTTTGGGTAAACTGTTGGAGATGATTATAGAATGTAGAATTTATGGACATTAAGGGAGGCAAAAATTGATTAGGGATAGTCATCATGATTCTCTGCGAGGAACATCGTGTCTCACATACCTGATTGAGTTTTTGAGCAAGTTACCAAAAAGATTGATGATGGCAGAGCAACAGGTGTTGCTTATTTGGATTTAGTAAAGCCTTTGACGCGGTTCTGCATGGTTGGACGAAATACTAATAATAGGTCACATGGGATTCATGATGAACTTACGAATTGGATACATAATTGGCTTAGCGGCAGAAGACCGAGTGTAGTGATGGAGAGGTTGCTTTTCGGTCTGGTTGCCTGTCTGCAGCGGTATTCCACAGGGATCAATTCTGTTTCCTCTTTTGTTTGGCATTCACTTCCATGAAATGGATGAGAATACAGAGGAACAGTTAGTGGGGGAGAACCAAAATTGGGGGCATAGTAGGCAGTCAAGAAGGTTTTCTAAGATTACAAAGGGATCTTGATCAAATAGGTCAATGGTCTGAAAAATGACGCATTCAGTTCGATGTGGAAAAATCCAAGGTATTGCATTTTGGTACATCAAACAAGGGCAGGCATTGTACAATTGATGGTAGGACCGAGCGTAGTGTGGTGGAACAGAGGGACCTAAGGGTGCAGATGCATAATTATTTGAGGTTTGCATCACTTGTAGACATGGTCGTTAAAAAAGCGTTTACCACGATTGCCTTCATTGCTCAGTCCTTTGAGGAAAGGAGTTGAGAAGTCATGCTGAGGTTGTACAGAGAAGCCTTTCCCGGCACACTGTGTCTAGTTTTGGTGGCCCAGTTATAAGAAGGATATTATTAGGCTGGAAATGATTCAGAAGAGATTTACAAGGACATTGCCGGTTTGGGAAGGCTTGAGTTATAAAGAAAGGCGGGACATTTTTCACTGGAGCATAGCAGGTTGAGAGGCGACCTCATAGAAGTTCATTAAATAATCAGAGATATACATAGAGTCAATTGTATTTGTCTTTTCCCTAGGATTGGGGATTTGAAGAATGAAGGCATTTTTTTAAGATGAGAGGACAGAGATTTAACAAAGACATGAGAGGCAATTTTTTTTCACGCAGAGGGTGGTTAGCGTGTGTAATGAACCTGACGTGAACCTGAGGAAGTGGTGGATGTGCGTACAATTACAACGTTTGAAAGACATTTGGATAAGTACATGAATAGGAAACTTTTGGAGGGATTTTGGGCCCAGGAACAGGCAGATGAGACGAG